GACGAATACCACGACACCCGTGTTGCCCGCCAAATCTTTTGGCAGGCCAATTCCAAAGTCCAAACTCATAGACTGCCAGCACCCAGTGGGTACCGGTAAGCTGGCCAGCGGCGCAGTCTCATTTGGAGCGGGTTTCACCCGTTGACACGTCTCACACAAGCACACATAGGTCCTCGTCCATTCGTAAAACTTAAGCCACCAATAGTAATGATTAACAGAGTTGTACGTTTTCTCAAGACTGAGATGACCACTTAGTGGCGTGTCGTGAGCCTCATAGAAGATGCAGTATTTCAAAAACCCCTTCATGAGGAACCACAATTCGTGGTGTATCCGTTGAATCGGTGCTATAATATAGCAAGCCGTTATATCGGTGCAATCGTGCACACAATCTTGATGACAATTTCTTGTCCGAGTTCTCAAACTCCTTGCTCCGTAGAGCCCGTAGCAACGCTACACACATCTCATCACCCGCATACGCGGTGCGGATCAAATCCGTCACAGACGACGTTACAGTTGTAACATGAGCAAGGTCATAGTCTGGTCTGCGTGACAACGCATCAGCCAAAGCATTCTGCTTTCCCGGCTTATACTTCACCTCGAAGATATATCCCGCAAGAAGGATAGCCATCCAGCCATCCTCTGCGAGAGGTGTGGCGGCTGAGTCGCAGTGCGTAATGACGCATGATCTGTGTAGATCACAAACGGCGTGGAGCCGGGCAGGTGGACCCTGAACTTGACAAGTGCATACTTCATCGCAAGTAGCTCGTTGTCATGAACCGGGTAGTTCTTCTCTGCAGCTTTGAGTTGTCGAGATTCGAACGCGATCACCCGATTTCGCCCCTCGGCGGCTGCTTACAGCAGTGCAGAGCCGATAGCGATGTTCGAAACATCACAGACGACGCTGGAAGAACGATCAGGGTCTGTCAGCGCCAGTATTGGTGCATGCAAGAGGCCCCGTCAATAGCTTCCTGATGTTCAGCGTTCCAACACCATTCTACTTCTTTTTTCAGGAGATTGGATAATGACCGGGCCATTTCTGCGTAATTTACGCTGTACTTGTGCAAGTAATTGGCAAGACCAAGCCACTTACGCAAGTCCTTTTGGTGCTTAGGAATCGGTCGATCTATAATGGCCTTAACCTTAGCAGGATCCGCTCGAAGGCCACGCTTCCCAATAAAGCACCCTAAAAAGGAAATCTCTTCTGCGCCAAAGATGCACTTTTCTGCTTTGGCGTACAGTTTGTTCGTGCGCATGCACTCGAGCACCGCTCTTAAAATGACGATGTGGTTCTCCTCATCTGTCCTTTCGTGCTCTGCACGACTATGACCGAAGATGTCGTTAAAATATGTCTGTGCATACGCCCTGTGGGCCTGAACAACTGCGGCACAAGACGATTAAATGTTGCTGGTGCATTTGACAGCCCTTGGGGAATCACTAGCCACTCCCAGAGCATGCCGCTCGGAGTGCTCGCCATTGTTAGCGGCATTTTGCTCGCTTTCATGAGCATTTGGTCATATTCATCGACCAAGTCGAGTGCACTGTAACTTCGTACATCCCACCATGTGTTCTGAAGAACATTCTTTCTAAGAATCGGCGTCTGTGCCGGTATGGTGGCAGCGTTGAGCTTATTGTAAGCATGAATGGTACGCCACTTGCCGTTCGGCTTCCAAACGCAAAACATGGTGTCGAATGGGGAGACTTGCTCTCACGTACCATTCATGCGTCGTGCTTCGCACGGAGAAAGGCGTCAATAAAGTCGCACTGCTCCTTGGGCAGGGGCCATTCGCGTGTAACGCAGTATTTGGTTCCCGGAACCAGGTCAATCTCATGACGCACACCTCGGTCTGGAGGTAGGACCGAAGGCGGGTCTTTGGAGGCGACGTCTTGAAATTCCTTACCAAAAGGATAGTACGGATCCAAGGGATCCCGTTGGATCGACGATCGACTTCGTGCGTTCAGCACTCACTTGGCGTTTTCCAAGACATCTTCATCCAGAAGCGATGACGAGTTTATCTCCTCGTCTGATCGTACAATGACCACTTCTGCCAAATCGCCTGTCTTCAAGGCACTGCCGAACTCTTCAAGAGACATCTCGTACAGCTCAAGAAGAGCATCTACTGCAGGCATAACCTCGAGGCGGACGTCGCCATCTTCCTCCCCCGTCATACCGTTGACGAGGGTGTATAATTGTGCACCGTCATTTACAGTAGACACATCCTGGATTAGGGTCGACGCCCGGCGTCTGCAGCCAGCATACGGCGTCGCCGTCGCCTCTGTGCAGAGGTCCTATGTCTCGGTGAGACCAGGGTGAACACGCACTCCGCGTCGTCCGG